GCGCAGGGAGGCCTTAGGGCGGCAGCAGATGCTGCGAGGTGCCGAGGAAGGCTGGGCGCTCACCTGGCTGGGCCGCAGAGCAGCCTCAAGGCGGCAGGGGGCGCTGCGGAGCCGTGACTCGCTCTGGCGCCAGCACATCCTCAGCTGCCCAGACACGTGGGGGCGGAGCCTGAAGGGCGAGGCTCTGGGGGCGGGGCCCAAGTCCAAACCTCAAGAACCTTGGCCTCAGCGGCCTGGGGATGCTCCTGCGGGTTTTAAGCGGAGCAGAACAGAGCTCCTCCGCACCGCGCACACGCGAGCCTGTCGGAACCGAGCGAGGTGAGCTCAGTTGCGTGCCCGACCAGCCCCGGGGGGTTCTAGCGCCCGAATGGCCGCTGAGCCCCGGGGCTTCCCCGGCTCCGATCGCAGTCGGTGGCCAGGCGAGGATCAGTGCCCGGTAGCTTCACCGAGATCCGGATGCTGGGACGCTTTCCCGAAGCGATAGGGGTCCAGCTCTCCGGCGTCTACCCACACAGTGGTCCGAGGGCGCAGCGCCGGGGCCGGCCTGGATCTGAGCTGCTCGCGGGGTTCGCCACGCCCCTCGCCCTTCTCACCCGCGCAGCCCGGGTGCAAGCCCTGCGGAGACGCGTGAACTGGACCGCGGTTGTTCTTTTCACCCTGGAATCTTTGCTCTGAGTGATTGCTGTTGCAAAAACAAACAAGCACTCGAAGCGGGTTGGTTGGAGTTTTCCTGGCGGCCGCGGCCACAGGACGCGCCCGGTAGGATCTCTGCGCGCGGGGTGGGCAGCGGCTGCGGAGTCCGCAGACCCGGAGGAGCTCGGCGGGATCGGCCGCGTCGGGGACCAGCGGTGCTGGTCTCCATTCTCCTGCCCACGCCCTGCCGCAAACTTGGTCCTCGGCCTGGGGCCGATCTCCCACTCGCCTCCAGCTTCGGGTTCCTTCACAGCGGCTTGGGAGGCAGGCAGAGGGTGGCGCAGGACAGAGTCCCTGATGCCTTCCTATCCGTGCGGCCTTGGGCAAGTTAGCTAACTTTGTGCCTCAGTTTCCTCCTCTGTGAAATGGATTAGCAATAGACCAAAACCCAGACCCACTGCCATGCCTCGATTCCAGCCCAGTTTCCCAGGCTGTAAACCTGTACCGAAGTAGATTGCCTCATCTGCCTTCCGCAGAGCAGCTGGTGGGTTTGAACCGCTGACCTTCTGGTTAGTAGCCAAATGCCTTACCCACTATGTGGGGAGAGCTCCTTGGGGTAGTAGCAGCACCTCCTGTAACTGTGTTGTCATTCGGTGCTGTGGAGTTGATTTCATCGCACAGCGACCCCGTGCGTTAGAGGAGAACTGCCCAATAGGGTTTTCTAGACTGTAATATTTACCCGTCCCGAGGAGGCCACATAGATTGGATGGAGACGGTTTGGTTTTTGTTTGTTTGTTTAGTCTTTACCTCGGCAGAGCACCAGGTCTTTCTTCTGCGTAACCGCAGGGTGGTTTGAATCGCCACCCTTGCAGTTAGCAGTTAGGGCCCAGCACTGAACCACTGTACGTACCCACTGCACTACCAGGGCTCCTTTGCAGATAATTGTATTGAGGATTGAATAAGAGAATGTGTGAAAAGGGTGTAGTCAGATGTCTTGAGGTACAGTAAGACATCTCATAGCGACCCGTCCTTTGGTTTCTGAGGCAGTAACACTACAGAAGTAGATTGCCCAACCTTCCTTCCGAGGAGTGGCTGGTGGCTTTGAATGACCCGCCTTCTGGTTAGCAGTCAAGTGCCTTAGGCACAGCACCACAAGACCTCCCCATCAATAACAGCCACTCTTCGGAAGGAAGGTTGGGCAATCTACTTCCGTAGTGATACTGCCTCGAAAACCCAAGGAAGGGTCGCTATGAGTCAGGTCCGACTCGATGGCACATAACAACAACAACAATATATAGGTAGGGAGCTCTGATGGCTTAGTGTCTAAGGCATTTGATGGCTGACCAGAAGGTTGGTGGTGTAGTTGTTAAGACATTTGGCTGCCAACTAAAAGATCAGTGGTTCAAACCCACCAGCTGCTCTGCTTGAGGAAAGATGGGGCAGTCTGCTTCCGTAAAGATGGAAGCCCATTAGGGGTTGCTATGAGTTGGGATTGACTGGATGGCAGTGAGTTTGCTTGGTAGTAATGCTGTAGTTGCTGCTGTTATTACAGGAGCACTATGATGGTTGTTGAAAGCATGGACTCCTGGGTTCAAATCCCAGCTCAGCACTTTCTAGTGCAACCTTGGGTAAGCCACTTAACCTCTCAGTGCCTTACTTTCCTCATTTGTAAAATGGGGAAAATTCTTGTACTTACCTCAAAAGATTGGTATGAAAATTCAATGAGTTAATACCTTCAGAATACTTAGAAAAGAGAGTGTTGTGTGTCAGCTACTTCACAAAGGCATCGTATTTAATCAAGCAGTACAACCTAATAGTAACTATAACCTTATTTTGTTTGGAAGTTGAAGTATTATTGGTGTGAACAGGTATCTGTTCTGTGATGAGCAAAAGGGGTTCCCTCTCTCACAGTAGGCTCCTCTCACCAGTGTGGTTAATCCACTGGGAGGGAGGGTGTCAGTTCTGGGGAAGGAGATGGTGAGGTAGAGGGCCTCCTGAGGGTTCTCTTCAGCGAGAAGACTGAGGGTTGGGGGCAGAAGCTTCCAGAACCACAGTTTATGTGGCGAATTTGCAGTGGAGGAAACCTTCCCTGGGCTGCAGTTTTATTTGACAGAACATTGAAACTTAACCCAGGTTTTTCAAACAAAACCAAACTCGGTAATTATTTTGTTTTGTGTTTGTAGTGAGGGGAGAGGTGGGGATGGGCAACATTTAAAACAATAAAACAAGATAAGGTACATTCTTCTGGCTAAGAGGCTGATAATATAATGTTGAGGGTCAGAGATGACTTTCTTCATCCCAGCAAAATCTTAAGTCTAGTTCCTGGGGCAGAAGGGAACCTCAAGTCTGTAGAGGTCTGGGGTGGTTTGGCTGCCTCCGGACATCTCAGCTTCACCCCTAGCACCCTACATCCTTTGCACCCTAAGCCTGAAACCCACTAGCATCATAAACCTGAAAGCCTCCCTGCTTTGAACCATACCACTGGGGTTCAGAGTGGCTAAAACTCAAGTCTTGCCTGAAGAACCTGATGCGGTAAACCAAATCCTTGTCCTAGACACAAGCCCTGTAGGGACATGGGACTTCCCTCTTACACCCTACTCCATATTAGAGTATGTCCTAATTTGTGGAGGGCATAAGGGACAGCATTGTCCTGTGCTCCCTTCCAATACCACAAGTGTTGGGAAGTGGTCACATTTACTGTTTAAAGTTGGAAAATTAAATCATGCAGCATCTCCTTTCTTGCTTCCTGCCTTTAATCCCCCAAACCAAACCAAACCTAATCCTTTGCCAGCGAGTTGATTCCGACTCATAGCTACCCCCACTGGGTTTCCGAGGCAGTAAATCTTTACGGAAGTAGATTGCGCGGTCTTCCCAGGTGCTGCTAAGTAACTGCCTGGGGAAGGAGGAGCAGCATCCAGCATAATACTGTGTTGTTGTTGTTGTTGTTATTTGCCGTCGAGTCGGCCCCGACTCATAGCGACCCCTCCTTGGGTTTCCGAGGCATTATCACTACGGAAGTAGGATTGCCCAACCTTCCTTCCGAGGAGTGGCTGGTGGGTTTGAACCGCCAGCCTTCTGGTTAGCAGTCAAGTGCCTTAGGCACTATGCTACCAGAGCTCCCAGCATAATACTAGGCCCTCAAAAGTGTGACGGTTAAGGCTACAAGGTTCCAAAGCAGCCCTTCACACTAGCTGTGTGATCTTCCACAAGTCACTCCACCTCTCTGGGCTTATTTTCCTTCTCTGTAACATGGAGATAAGAATAGTATGCCCAGCCCAAGTTTGGTGTAATATGAAATTAACTTTATATATATATTTGGGATTGTAGTGAGGGGAGAGGTGGGCATGGGCAATATTTAAAATAATAAAACAAGATACATTACATCCTTCTGGACAAGAGGCTGATAATATAATTTTGACACATACATATATACACACACACATAGAGAGAAAGACAGTAGAAGAGAATATATGTATATGGCTAATAAGCTGTATCATAAATATGACATGAAACTATATATAAATGAACATTATTTTCCATTGTAAACCTTGTGTAATTGAAGTGTACCTTGTACGTTGATGAATGTGGTTATTTGCTTTCCAATAATTCCCACCCCTCCCAAAGCTGGTATTAAATCAAGGTGCATTCCTAAAATTAGTGGTACAGAATCAAGGACACATGGCAAGGACCTGACAAATGTGTGGCCAGTGTTGTAGGCTATTGTTATATTTGGTGCTCTATAAACACTGAGGGTTTAACTGTAAAGAGGAGAAATGAAACAGAAATCATGCCACTTACAATAAGGTAGCAGGGAAAAGAACTGGGAAAGATACAACCAGGAAGGGACCGAAAGTGATCTAAGGTGGCTGCCGGGAAATTCTCTTGGCAGATCTCCACCGGTAACGCTTTCCCAGGCCCTTGCTCTGGGCCAGGCACATGCTTGGCACCAGGGGCCTAACAAAGAATTGCTGCCCTCAAGGAGGGCAGGCTAATGGAGGGTTGCAATTCCCCTAATCACAGTGATTGAGATGAGAGGTGCAGAGGACCACTTGGGGTAGCTCTGAGGGCTTCCGCTCCGGCGAATCAAGGTCCTTCCGCCGTGCTACACAGGTTAAACCTCAACCAGCACCCACAGGGCAAGGCCCAGGGGCTGTAAGTGGAGGAGGCAGCTTCTGGCAGATGCCATGACCAAAAGCAATTATCCTGGAGAAAGGGCCAAGGCTTCAGAATGCAAACTGCCCAGCCCACAGAGGAGAAAATGAAGGTGGCCTTGGAGGCGCACCGCTAGGCCGGGCCAGCGGGCGCGGACTCACCTGTTTTCTTCTCTGCCTCTCCAGCTCGCTTGCCCTTCCAAGCCCCAGCTGGCCATGGCTCCTGGAGAGAAGATCAAAGCCAAAATCAAGAAGAATCTGCCCATGACTGGGCCCCAGGCACCTACCATTAAAGAGCTGATGCGGTGGTACTGCCTCAACACCAACACCCACGGCTGCCGGCGCATCGTGGTGTCGCGTGGCCGCCTCCGCCGTCTGCTCTGGATCTTGTTCACACTGACCGCAGTGGCCCTCATTGTCTGGCAGTGTGCCCTGCTTGTCCTCTCCTTCTACACCGTCTCTGTCTCTATCAAAGTACACTTCCAGAAGCTGGATTTCCCTGCTGTCACCATCTGCAACATCAACCCTTACAAGTAAGAGGTGTGCCCTTCAGGTGCCCAAGCTCCTCCCCAAGGTTGCAAACTGGCAGCCTGGGGTCCGATTCCAGCCTGCAACAGGCTTTCTAGACATTTGAGTTCGGCGCCAACATCTGTAAACTGCTCTCTCCCACATTCTGAATCTGCACCAAGTTTTCAGCCCATTCGTGACTTCTGCAGAGGGCCAGTTCAGGGCAGGTGGAGGGGAGGCTGCAAGGATCAGTACTGCTTGAGGATTAGACCCTCACATACACCCACTCTGAGCCTGGCTTAGCCTTTACCCCCGGCTTTCTAAGCTCACCCCCTCACTCTCTGCAGTATGTGAGCTCCAAGCTGACCAAGAAGTGATACCCAGGTGACTTCCAGAAGCATCTTGGCTGCCCCAAACCTTCATCCAGGTGGCCTAGTCCCGCTAGTTGAGATCTTTGGGCAGGGCCAGCCCTTGGTGATACCCTGTTGTCAGTGGCAGGACCTGTTCTAAATGGGTCATCAGAGTCCTCAGGATTATTGAATGAAAACCCATCTGTGAGGCAGAGCCAAACCTGGCAGAATCTGTCAGGGTGGGGGTGGGGGTGGGGGTGGAGAGAATGGAAGAGCAGTATCCAAGGAAACTAACTTGTCCGGAGTCATCAATGACTTGGCGCCCAAATCAGGTCTAAGCCTCATCCTCCACCTCCAGACAGTCTCTCTCTTCTCCCTCCCTCCCTCCCTTCTTCCCTCTTGTCTTTTCCCTCCTTCCCTCTCTCCCTCCCCCTTCCTCCTTCTTTCCTTCCATTATTTGTTCCATAATCATTTACCCAGCACCTGAATTGTCATGCTCTATTCCAGATTCTTTAGGCGCTCTGGTGGTGCAGTGTTAAGGCATTTGGCTGCTAACCAAAAGCTCAGTGGTTTGAACCCACTAGCTGCTCCACCGAAGAAAGGTGAGGTGGTCTGCTTCCATAAAGATTTATAGCCTTGGAAACCTATGAGATGACTCCATGGCAATGAGTTTTTTTTTTTTTTTTTTGCAGATTTCCCACTTTTTTTTTACTATTCTTTTCGGCCTTTTTTTTTTTTTTTTTGGTTTGGTGTTCTAGATTCTGGGGCACAGAACTGAAACAACACAGATAGTCTTTGACCTTATGGAACTTACATAGTAGTAGGAGAGTGAAATATTAACAAATATAACTATGCTAATAATGTTAATAATAAAACTCACTGCTGTCAAGTCGAATCTGACTCATAGTGACCCCTCCTTGGGTTTCCAAGGCAGTATCACTACAGAAGCAAATTGCCCAGTCTTCCTTCTGAAGAGTGGCTGGTGGATTTGAACCACCAGCCTTCTGGTTAGCAGTCAAATCCCTTAGGCACTATGCCACCAGAGCTCCTTATATAAATCAT